TGCTATCGATAGAAGATGGGCAAGAAGTACCTAGAAATCTAGAGAATAAGTTGGGTTTCAGCACCTTCTTGGGGGGCTTCGAGGGGAATTGCTACTTTTTGGAGAGAGGATACGGTGGAGGTTTTGGAGGAGCTAGTAGATAATTTTTCAGTGTCGTTAAAATTCAAGATAGTTGAGGATGGATTTATCTGGGCCCTAACTAATGTGTATGGACCAAGCAATTACAGAGAAAGGAATGAACTGTGGGAAGAACTTTATGGGATTCAAGGGCTTTGGGATGGTCAGTGGTGTTTGGGGGGAGATTTCAATGTAATTCGATTTACGAATGAATCAAATAACCCCCAACAGATCATTACAACCAGCATACGGAGATTCAACGATTTTATTAATAATTGTGAGTTAAAGGAACTCCCGTTTCTGCAATCTATCTATACCTGGTCCAATTTTCAGGAGGTACCAACCTACTACAAATTAGATAGGTTCCTTTTCAATGAAATCTGGGAAAACAAGTGGGCGTACTTGTTAACAAGGGCTCTACCTAGAGTCACATCTGACCATTGCCCCATTAGCCTAGGACAAGAGCCTTTTAGGCAAGGACCTCGACCCTTTAGGTTTGAGAACATGCGGTTGACTCACCCAGACTTCGTGAAGAAGGTTGAGGAATGGTGGAGGGAAGACCTAAGGGGGGTGAAGTGGAAAGGGGTAAGATTCCATAAAAAACTAAAAAGATTGAGAGCACATGTGAAGGATTGGAATAGGGAGCATTTTGGGAGAATAGAATAAATGAAATCTTCTCTGTTGACCCAAACAGAGGAACTGGATGTGAAGGAATCTCAAAGAGCCTTAAGCCCTCAGGATAGAGATCGGAGATGGAATATGAAAAGAGAGTTAAATGAAGTTATTTTGAGAGAAGAATTTTCTTGGAGGCAAAAGTCTAGACGTAAGTGGATTAAGGAAGGAGATGGGAACACAAAATATTTTCATGACCTAGCCAATGGAAGGAGAAGGAAAAACCTAGTTTCCAAACTAAAAGTGGATGGAACAGTCTTTGATACCCAAGAGAGGATAGCCACTTGTTTTGTTGACCATTTCAAATCCATCTTGAGGAGACCCCTAAGCCCTAGAGTGGAATTGGAAGGTGTGACCTAGCAAAGGCTTCTAGAAGAGAGTAGAAGTTGGATGGAGAGGAATTTTGAGGAGGAAGAAATTAGAAAAGTTGTTTTTCCATGGACAAATCTAAAGCACCAGGGCCAAATGGGTTTACAATGGCTTTCTTTCAAGATTGTTGGGACATAATCAAAGAAGATTTATTTGAGGTCTTCAGGGAATTTGAGAACAATCAAGTGATGAGTCGGGGAATTAATGCTACTTTTTTAGCCTTAATTCCGAAAAAGAAAGAGGCCAAGCATCCAGAGGACTTTAGACCTATTAGTTTGGTGACTAGTGTTTATAAGATTGTGGCAAAAGTCTTATCCTTGAGGATAAAACAGGTGCTTCCTTGTCTTATAAGCCAAGCGCAAGGAGCTTTTGTTCAGGGGAGACAAATTGTAGGTCAGATTCTAATAGCAAATGAATGTGTGGAGGAGATGAGGAGATCGAGGCGTAAAGGTTATGTTTGTAAACTTGACCTTGAAAAGGCCTATGACTTAGTGGATTGGGGATTCTTATCACTCGTGCTAAGGAAGTGTGAGTTTGGGGATAAGTAGTGCAAATGGATAAACGGTTGCCTCTCTAGTTTCCATTATTCCATCCTAGTCAATGGGATAGTTACTAATTTTTCCCAACTAGTAGAGGTCTGAGACAAGGTGATCCCATGTCACCTTTCCTTTTCACTTTAGTCGCCGATGCTTTTAGTAAACTCCTCTCAGAAGCAAATAGAGTCGAATCCCTAAGAGGGTGGAGAATAGGCAGAGATAGAGTGTCAGTAACCCATCTCCAATTTGCAGATGATATAATAATCTTTTGTGAAGGTTGTGTCTGACAGAGGTGAGGAATCTGAAGGATTTAATATTTCACTTTGAGAAGGCCTCGAATTTGAATGTAAATTTTGAGAAGAGTTGTGTTGTGGGGGTTCATTTGAACAGAGAGGAGGTGGAGTCTATAGCAGCCTTGTTAGAATGCACTTGCACTCAATGTCCTCTATCCTATCTAAGACTTCCTCTAGGTGCAAATCCAAAGGAAAGTAGGTTCCTGAATCCGGTGGTTGAAAATTTTGAAAAAAGATTGGCAGGTTGGAAGAGGAACTACATCTCCGTGGGTAGTAGAGTTACTTTTATTAAAGCAACTTTAGCCACCTTGCCTTTATACTTCCTATATCAGTCTTTAAAATTCCTAAAAGGGAGGCAAAGAGGTTGGAAAAACTGATGAGGGACTTCCTATGGGAACCTGGTGAAGAGAAAAAAGATCACTTGATTAGGTGGGAGGTGGTGAGTCGGAGCAAAAAAGGAGGACTAGGCTTAGGGAATGTGGTGAGTAAGAATGAGGCTCTTTTAGGTAAGTGGCTTTGGAGGTGGCCCCTGGAGAAGGAGAGGTTGTGGCATGAAGTAGTGAAAAGTATCCATGGTTGTTCTGAATCAGGTTGGGATGCGAGGGTATCCCGAAGGGCTTTGTTCACAACACCTTGGAAGGCTACCTCTGGTATTCCCTAGATTCCTCAGGTTTGTAAGGTACGATGCTTGTTCTAGAAACTCTATTCTTTTTTGGGAAGATGCTTGGGTGAGAACTCAACCCCTAAAACACTGTTTCCCTTCTCTCTATTCCATCTCCCTCTTTAAAAAGAAACTCGTTTCTTGGTTCCTCCCCCCCTGGTTTCCCCTTTGGCTTTAAATTGGGGTTTTGGGTTTTGGAGAGGGTTAAGGAATGAAGAATTTCATTGTGTCTCAGAGCTGTTGTTGCTTCTAGATTCGGTGTGCCTGGACCCCACTAACCCGGACAAAAGAGTCTAGGCTCTAAACCCAGTTGGCTCTTTCACTTGTGTGTCTTTCTTTAAAGCCCTTTGCTCTAACCCTTCCTCTCAGATCTTCCCTGTTAAAGAGGTTTGGTCAAGGCCAATACCCCCCAAAGTAGCAGTGTTCTGTTGGGAAGCCTATTATGGTAAGATCAATACTGTGGAAAACTTGCAAAAGAAGAAACTTTTTTTGTGTTTGTCCCCAAATTGGTGCTTTATGTGTAAAGTGAAGGGTGAGAACTATAACCATTTGTTGATACCGTGCTCCTTTGCAGCCAATATTTGGAACTGGGTTGTTTCTTTATTTGGGTGCAGGTGGAATTTGCCCTCTGAAGTAAAGCTGTTGTTCACTCCAGATGCTCTTGGGAGATTGACAAAAAGGGGGAAGATAATGTGGAAATGTATCAGAGCCGCCACCTTGTGGATTTTATGGGAGGAGAGAAATGCTAGAATATTTCAAGAAAAGGAAAGAAGTCTTGCTGAAGTCAAGGAATGTATATTGACAAAGACAATTTCATGGCTGAAATCTTCACAATTGTTGGCAGATTTCTCCTTTGATGACTTAAGGAGAAATTGGGAAACAGTGGCTTCTACAGTCTCCACTAAGAACAAATTACAAGTTGAATGGAAACCCCCACCGGATGGAGTGGTAAAATTGAACTTTGATGGCAGCTGCCAACCCAGGGCCATCTGGAATTGGAGGATTCTGAGAGATAAAGACAGCAAAATGTTGTCTCTTTTCTCAGGATCAATGGGTGAAGGTGATTCTGTAAGGGCAAAGCTATTAGCAGCGGTACAAGGTATATAAATGGCTAGTCAATTAGGAGTGAACAATTTGTTAGTAGGAGATTCCAAGGTAGTAGTGGGCTGGCTGAATAGCCCAGACACAGTTTGCTGGGGCTACAGGGATCTGTTAAGAAAGTTAAATGGATGACAAGAAATATGACTGTTATGTTCCAGTGGGTTAACAGATCAGCAAATGTAATGACCGATTCTCTGGCCAAGCAAGGAGTGTCAAGGGGTGATCTGTTTTGGGCTACTTTGTAATTTGTATCTAAGGTTTGGGTATGTTTAGTGTTTATGATTCAGTCCTTGGGGGAGGTAACATCTTGTGCCTCTTCCTAGGCTGCTTGTATTTCTGATATTTATTTCAATAAAATTACTCTCATTTATCCAAAAAAAAAAAAAGAAAGGTTGTTTCTTCTTGGCCTAGCAGTGGTACAGGATCTAAATCTCAGATTTTGTGGATGTTAATTCCTTCCTCAATGTGCTGGAGATTATGAAAAGGGACAGAAGAACTTCCAATAGCTACTCTCATCTTTCAGCAAGGATTTGCTCCAGTAGTCCAGTTTTACTTCTTTAGCTGACTGGTCTCTTAACTTAAAGTATTTCCATGGGTAAAATAGGCTGCATTGTTTTCTCTCTGATCAACAATAAACCTTTCAGTAACAAGGCATGTAAGCCATATAACAAAATAGGAACAAAAATGGGTGTATAACAGTAGCTATCCCAAAATTAGGAGTGCTATAGCATATTCCTACATGTACAGCATTCCTTTATTAACAATTAACAAAATTTTTATGACTGCTGATGCAAAAAAAAGAGTAACAATAATGGTCAATTTTCAGACCAATGCCCATCTTCCCAGGAGACATACCTTTTATAAACATTACATTTTATCCCCCCCCCCTTTGAGGCATGTATCTACCTCATTTCAAACTTTATAGGCTGGATATAGCTTCTAACTTGAGTGGTTTTCTAGGTGTCAAGATTGGTAAAGCTTTTATGTTGAAAAATCTCTTCCATTCTTTTCACACCTATTTTCTACTATAGCATATATACATCTACCTAGTTGATTATACAGAAGAAAAAACATTGATGAAAAGAAAGTATATGCTTTAGGGACATATTTGCCAGTTTCTAGTTACCAATTTCTTTCCCACATTTGCAATTGATGATTATTATTGTAAAGGCAAGCTAGAACCAACTGTCGAAGTTACAGCAAAGCAAGAACCAGAAGGCCAATGAAACCAACAAAATAGGCAACACTTGCCTTTTAACTCAATTGGTAAACCATGACAATCCCATCCAGGCACATAATGGACTTTATAATTTTGAAGAAGCTGCACAAAATTTTAAAAAGATTAATAAATAATAAACAATAAAGTGAGAGGAAGAAAAGAGAAAAAAACAAGCAGAAATATTTATATAATGATAACTAACCATGAAAATATGAAGTTCACAACAGGAGTGCAACTAATACTTGTTTCAAAAATTATGTGCACATTATTACCTTACTCATTTCAAAAAAAAAATTATGTGCACATTATTAAAGAAACTAACCAATAAATTAGGCATAGCAATTAAAGCAACGACTAGATTTCTTCTTTATTCAGATTAATAAGAAGTTATAGCAAAAGGAAAACAAAAGATCTATAAAAAGTAGATAACAAAAAACAAGAGAAATGAAACAACTATAAGGCTGATAATATATAAGAAAAAGGTGGCTGGTAGATACATAATACTTACAACCTTAACCTCATTAAGACACCTGCCATCAAATTGGCTGGTCTTAGAATTCATCTATATGAAATGTTTTTTTTTTTCTTTTTTATTGGTAATGGTTAGGCTCAATTAATTTTAACAAATWAAATAAAACAGCAAATGCCATGAACTCCCAAAAATAGGCTAGCTTCAGCTACCTAACCCTTCTATTTTCTACTAAAGAACTTATCTTACAATTCAATTGTGCCCAGAAAAGTTGAGCCCATTTCACCCATTGTTTCACCATTGTATCAGCCATCCATTTGCAGATTGTTGAACCCATGAATAATCGGTTACCAAGTCCCTAGCCAAGTATCTTATTTCTCCAACTAAATGCCAAGAAACCTGACATCTATTCCTAAGCCAGTCCATTACCGTTTTTATCAATAACAATCAATGTTTTATTCATATAAAAAAGAATATGCAAATTTACTAAGGAAAATAGTGGACCATACATACAATTCACCCCAAACATTCAGTTCCTCTATGGTGTTCTAATTCCCTTAAGATATATTTGTATTTCCACATTGCTTGTGCATTGTTTCCCTTAAGATACATCTATTTGTATAAGCTTCTTTTGATTTGATAAAAGCTAATTTGGTATCAATCAAAAAAATAATAATAAAAATAAAAATAACCTATGTATCCCACTTAACCCCAAACCTTGTAACAAAGAAAATACATCAACCAGAGGCCATGAACCAAGCTAATGTCCCTGCTTAGATAGAACCACCTTTTCCACTCAGTTCAGAGTAGGCATGATCACCACCAAGCTCCGAAGACCTTGGATTTCCTAGGAAGCACCCTTGTATAGGTAATTAAATAAATTACCAAGTGTACAGCTTGACAATAAAAAGGAAAACAAAAAAACACGCATCATAGTACACTCTGTAATGCTTTACATTATACTACCCTCTGCACTCAAAATACCAGTCTAATTAAACACAGATCCCTTCTATTAAAAGAACTCAATATGCAAGGGCCAATCCATAAGGAGATTACTGGTATCCAYGCAAAGCCCAGAAAAGCCTTTGTTCTATTCAAATGCATGCCAATTTCTTTTGTTTCACAAAGCCCAAAAGATGACACCAGAAACCATTGCCCACAAAATGGCAGCTCCATAGCCATCTGAAACTGATGGAGATGGCTTTTTTTATAGATAACTGAAAATTTTATTAAGAATGCATCAAATTTACAGAACTATGTACAATAAGCACAGGCTAGATATACTTACCTATCCCGCAAAGAAGAAAAATAACAAATTACAAAACAGCCAAAAATAATTAACCTTTGTTTAGCCAAAAAAAAAAAATCAGACATATTATTGTTCAATCTTGGCACCCACTGAAGTTAACTCCCATTTTTTTATCAGAAATGATAACTTTCATTAGAGATAAATTAACCTGAAATACAGAATTCAACCCTTATTAGAAAAGGTTGATCCAATAAACATCAAACATTACAGCACTGCCCAAAAAAGACTCTCCCTTGCAGTCCCTTGTTTTGCTAGGGCATCAGCAAAACCATT